AGCTTTACAGAAAATCATGATGTTAATGTTTATAATATCATCTTCATGCATTTAAAGATTAGAGCCGGACGATAATATAGTTTACAACCAGATGAGATGCTATATATCATGCTATTGTCACACTTCTACTGTGGTAGAGCGAGGAACGAAGAAACGAGGTAGTTAACATAGAACAGTCTTTAATAATCCATAGGCGGAAACACAGGGGAGCCAGGAGACACACGTAGCACGTTAACACGTAGAACCGACAAATACAAACTGGATGGACTGGGGCTTTTAAACACAAGATAATTGGGAAGACACAGGTGAACAGAATGACTAATTAACTAAATTAGGACACACAGGAACAGAAACAGGGGCAAAACACGACACGGAACTGTCCAGGATCCTGACAGTATACCTGTCTGCCATTATCCGACCCATGCCTGTTTTATGACCACGTCTCTGTCTTCTCCTAATAAAAGCTTTGCATATGGATCCGCACGTCTCACGTCTTGTCAGCCCTGTAACAACAGCTATAAAGTTGCTACATAGTAAATATCACTTTATGTGAGTATGTATATGGGTGAAGTTGGATAAATTTGTACAAATAGCTGGTATTTTGATGGTCCACTTTAGACACACAGCTGACTGTAAGTAACTCTGCATGGTTATGACAAAAATAATATAATAACATAATTGGTGATTATTCCTTTGAAATTGTGATTATTAAATATGATTATCACAATACACACTGAATGTTTTGAATAGCTTTATACCATTGTTTGAAGCAACTGCATGCCATATTTTTATGTGAAAATAAACAAGCTGAAAACACTCTTCCTGAAAAAAACATGTATTGCTTTTCTAAAGCATTAAGCCTCAAATGTCAAATATACATGGGTTTGGTTTCTTCTTTAAATAAAAAAGTAAAAATATGCATGGTATTATAATGTTATACTAAAGCTAAAATTAAAACAACGGAGAAAACCGTTAAAATAACCTGTAGAAAGAAAGAAAAAAACACACAGAGAATAATGTAAGTGGACTTTTTGAGAGTATTAATAGACAGTGTGCTTAATATCTGCTATCACTTTATTTTGATGGTCCCCCAAGTTCATATCAACTTCTTCTGCTAAGCCTAATCCTAATACTCTAATGAGAGTTAGTTGACATATAGTTGCAAAGTTACTCATAGTTAGTAGAATGTCTACAGTGGACAATCAAAATAAAGTGTAACTAAATAGTTAACTGCGTGATTGTGGAAAACTAACACGTGTTTGTGTGTGTTTCTACAGGATTGCGCTGCCTTTGAGAAGTGCTGCACTAACGTGTGTGGCCTGCTGAGCTGCGTGGCGTCCCGCTTCTCTGACGGCTCCTCCGATGACGGTCAGTCGGGGGCGGGAGTTTCAGCGGGAGGCGTGGCCAGCTGCGAGGGGTTTGTGTGCAGCCAGCAGGGGGCGGTGTGTGACGTGTGGGAGGGGCAGCCGGTGTGTAAATGTCAGGACCGCTGCGAGAGCGAGCCCAGCTTCACCTGCGCCTCCGACGGCCTCACGTACTTCAACCGCTGCTACATGGATGCAGAGGCCTGCGTTCAGGGCGTCACGCTCACCGTGGTCACCTGTCGTTATCACCTGTCTGGCCCAAACGCCAGCCCTCTGCCGCAGGACACCACGGCTCAACCCACGTCTGCAGCCGCCGACGATTCCGAGCCCTTCCCGCCGACACTCTACTCCAACCCCCAGCAGCAGGTGATTTACCTGGGTGGAACGTCCAGCTTCCACTGTGACGTGATCGGACACCCGAAGCCGGACATCACCTGGGAGAAGCTGTCCGAGGGAGGAGAGCGAATCCTCATGCGGCCGGACCAGATGTACGGGAACGTCGTCATAACCAACATCGGTCAGCTGGTGGTGTATAACGCCCAGGTGTGGGACACGGGAATCTACACCTGCATCACGCGAAACACCGCAGGAGCGCTGCGGGCCGATTACCCGCTTTCCGTCGTGAGGCGCGACAGCGAGGACTTCTTCGACGACCCTGAGGCAGGTTTGCCGCTGGGACAGCCGTTCTCTCCAGCCGACTGCTGGGCCCCCGTGGAGCGGGGTGAGTGCGGCGAGCAGCGGGTGGACTGGTACTACGACGCGGCCCGGGGCGAGTGCCATGTGTTTGCGCACGGAGGCTGTGAGGGCGGCCGCAACCGCTTCGAGACGTACGAGGAGTGCCGGGTGTCGTGTCAGCGCGAGGGGCTGGGTGTGTGCTCGCTGCCGGCTGTGCAGGGCCCCTGTAAGCTCTGGGAGCCGCGCTGGGCCTACAACAGCCTCATGAAACAGTGCCTGGCCTTCGTCTACGGCGGCTGCCACGGCAACAAGAACAACTTCCGCACGCGTAAAGAATGCGAAGCCACCTGCCCGCAGCCCAAGCGGCGTCCGTGTAAAAACTGCCGGCCGAAAGGAAAGATCGTGGCGAGTCTTTGCCGCAGCGACTTTGCCATCGTGGGACGGCTCACAGAGCTAATCGAGGAGCTGGACTCGGGAATCGCACGGTTCCACCTGGAGCAGGTGCTGCGTGATGAGAAGATGGGCCTGCAGCTCTTTGAAACACAACACCTGGAGGTGCTGCTGGCGCGCATGGACTGGAGCTGCCCATGTCCCAACATCACGCAGCACCGTGAGCTCTCCCTGCTGGTGATGGGCGAGGTGCAGGACGGCACGGCCGTGATCCTGCCCCACAGTTACGTCAGACCCATATCTGACCGACGCCTCAAGAAGATCCACGAGGTTCTGGGCAAGAAGACTTGTGAGATGCTGCAGAGGTTCCAGGACTGAGCTGGCATGGATCTGGTGGTGTGGCATGACCCGGGTTCAGTGCGAGGACACATGCATATATTTTCACACACTACACAGGTGATCTTTAAGCCTGAGACAGCACTAGTTCTCACATATCATTCCTCATGTTCAGATCTGCCATGCTGATGATGCACATGCAAACAAGCAAAGTGTACAAAAAGTGTTGCAAACTCTCGTTGCATCAATGCGGCACATTTGAATGGTGCAGGAGGTGATTTTCAGTGAATAATTAATAATTCAGTGAATAAATTTAGTCTGTTCTTTACACATAACAAAATACAACTTCATATAACTTGTAATATAGGACATGACTATGGAGCGAGGCAATAGTATCGGTTATTCCTAAAGAGGGTAAAGGGAGTGTAGTGCATTTAGCAAAAGACTGGAAGATATAATACCAGAATTAGTGGATTTAGATAAGACAGGCTTTGTATGTGATAGACAGACACAAGATGATATTAGGTGGGTGCTGCATTTAAGTGATTATATCACTAAAGAAAATGTCAGCGCAGTAGTAATCAGTTTAGATGCCGAAAAGGCATTTGACTCAGTTCACTGGGAGTACCTGTATTTGACATCAAGAAGATTTGGTTTTGGCCCAGTTAAGACCTTGAGCATGCTGCTGTAACCCAGAATATATAGCAAGGTGGAAGGATTTGGAGATTTTGCTGTGTTGGCTCGCAAAACCTTATACGAACAATATATTAATAGTTTAATAATCAATGGACTAAGGTTCCTTTTAGAATCTGGTTTAAAGAATGTAAATCGCCAGTACCTGAAAGACAGGCTAGATTATTGAGATGGGTTGCCTTTGATCCCGACTTTAAACCAGCAAGGATTCTGGTATAGGTGTGGCATCACTTCTTTTAGTTCAGTTTCATCAAAGGGAGAGAGAATTTTACAGAGAATTCTGCTGGCGGAGTCTTATCAGATATTTTATATCCCCCAAGTTAAAGTCTGCCCGCACTGGTGAAATGGGAAGGGGTCTTTTCTGGAGGAAATGTGGGGAACAGCTGGCAGATCATGTAACGGAAGTAAGATGTAATTTATCTGGTGATGGAATTGACTGCTCTTTCTCAACAATTAGTAGCTCATTTGATGGTGAAAGACAAGTACCTTTTAAAGATATTATTAGCAGCTTGCAAGAAAGCTATAACACAAAAGACTGCATGATTGGTCATTGTGACCAGTGTCCAAAACATGGAGAGAATGACTTTTTAATTAAATTTACAGATAGACAAATATTTGCAATACTGGGAAAAATGGGCTGTGTTAATGCCTTCATGACATGTTTATTGACTATTGTATAATCTGACATATATTTCCATCAAGGTGACTAATGTAATGATGCATAGGTGACCAAGCAATTGTTCAGTTCTAATGTTATAGTATTTTTTTTTCCAAAAATAATGTTTAAAAATACAGGACATGACTGTTATGATACTATCATGGTGCTTATATGAGCTTTAGGAGCTTGACGGTCAGAGCGAACATTTCTCATCACTCATCCATCTGCTTTTGTGTGAGAAATAAACTCATACGGGTGAGTGAATGATGACAGAACTTAGATTTTTTCATGGTGAACGGTTCCTTAAATATTGTTCCTGCAGCGAAGTATCGCTTTTTATTTATTTGTTTATTTTCTGTTTCATATTTCCTATAAGTAGTTTATTCGATTTCTATAATTAATAATTGTTTATATAATTCTCATTATTCATAAGAACGATGAAAATGTTATTCGACGCAAAAAGTGACAGCCAAAAGAAAGAAAAATGTATGTGTGTCTTCTTCACAAGTTTTTCAATAAAAACGTTTAATGTAACCTCATCTTTGATATGTTGGCTTCTTTATGTTACATTGCTTCTGTATTTCCTCACTTTTATGCCAAAGTACACAAAGCATCTGCTGAACATTTACTGTACGTGATGCACAAGTTTTTATTATTAATAATTAGACAGCAGCAGCAGCAGCATCACACTGATCCAGGATCAGATTACAAGGGGCACAAATATTTCTGAAGTTTCAAAAGGAAATGTGTAGAAAATAAGACAAAAAGCACAGCTCTGTTATGCATGGACTAATGCATGGACACACTGCTGCTGTTTGATCTGTGAGAAACACACACACTCACACTCACACACACACACACACACACACACTCTGCGAGGGCGAGAAACGCCGTGTTAAGGAGGAAATGAGTTTGTCATGAAGAAATGAACAGGAAGATGTTTGTCACACAGACGAGCAGCAGTGGGATGGAGGCGCTCGGCTTGATTCTCTTCATGTGGGGTAAGAGATGCCTTCAAACATTCACACGACTCAGAAATGCATCAGTTTGCTCATTTTCATTATAGTTTTTGCATTAGTTTGAAATCATTCTTATTACCATTTTTGGTAACGCTTTAGATTACAACCCGCAAAGAACTATGTAAGTATACTGAATGCGCTCACCACATTCACTGCTGCAGTTTTAAAGGAACACACTCCAGACAGTTTCAAAGTTGTCCCTCGTCTGCGCTTCGATTAGTTTTCTATTTTCCACACATGTTCCAGTCTTAAGCACCACAGCCACGGATTTCGTCGCACACACAGAGCCGTTCACGTTTGAACTCATGTGACTTGCTGCATGCTCTCATTCACGTCCTCCACATTCATAACCCAGCCACGTCGGGTTACTTATTACTGATATCAACCCAAATTGGGTCAAATCAAGCCAGCTTCCTAACCCAACAGTCTCAACCGAGCGTTTGGATTGAAACAATTACCAGCGTGTTTTATATGTGTAGGCTATAAAAAAGTACACAGTGTATGCTTTTGCTTAATCGCTTGCAAATATAAGAGGTCATACATAGGCCTACCCTGTAATATTAGAATAGGTACCCCTTAGTTTCAAAATACTTACAGTAGAAACCCCGTAATATTAGAATAGTTCCCCCTTAGTTTCAAAATACTTACAGTAGAAATAATTTGTAATTTTACAGATTATTACTCCTTTATTCCCCAAACTTCGCATGTTGTTACCTTATACCTACACGGAGGTACTGAATAGGTACACGTAATTACAAAAAAGTTACGCTATAAATTCTGTTTACTTACGCAGTACATTGCGGGTTGCAATCTAAAGCGTTACCCCACTTTTTATAAAACAGAAGGCTGATGTGTTCATTTAGATCAGTGTCTCTGTCCCTCTGGGGGCGGGGAAGAGAGATTCTTACATTCTAAATTTACAATAATATTTATGTTAATTTGAGGTGATGGAGCTCAGCACTGTGTGTGTGTGAGTGTGTATTGTGTTGTAGGTTAGTGGTTATATGTGACAGGAACACACACACTCACTCACTCACACACACTCACTCACACACACACACACACACACACACACACTCTGCTGTTTTCTCTTGATGCTGCAGCATGTTGATGGTTGTGATTGTATCATTAGTTTAATGTCAGACTGCAGATGTATGATGCTGATGTCTGTCTGTCTGTGCACATGTCTAGGTAGAAACATAGACACACACACACACACACACACACAGTTTTGTTGTTCCAGTGCAGCTGGTTGAATCCTGATGGACACCAGTGGCAGACACTTGCGTTAGTTTCATCATCTTATGAAACGCTGACAAACAGGAAGAGAAACCAGAGAGAATCATTTAGAAAGTCAGAGGCTGAAGTCTCACAAGTGTCTCCTGACATCTCAACAGTCTCTCTGGATTCTCCAGCGTCTCTTTCACGGGCCTTCAATATCGACACCGAACATCC